AAGAAACTAGTACTAAGAGACAACAAACTCAAATCTCTTGGTACTGCTTGTTGTCACAGATTTTCATGAGTAGCAGGGACAAAATGGGAACTGTTTGGAAACAAATAGGAAATGCTGCACTCATTTCTGAAAGAGAATGACACACTATTTGATTGAACTCTATATGGATTTTAAAATTTCTGCTCTTATCATCTATCTGAGAAATATTATTTTGTTTTGCTTAGTATTCTTAGTCAGCAACTTCAGAGAAAAAGCCTATATTGATTCACCTCAAACTACGGTTGTGTCAAAGCCCTCCTCCAAAGGCAGCATCCCAAAAACCCTCAAAAGATTTTCACATTTAGAAGCCAAGCTTATTTGAAAGGCAAGCACTACCAAACTCAGTGACAAAAATACAAATAAAAATGGAACCAAAGTAATTCCTTCTCCTGTTATGGATGGCCACAAACCCTATGCAATATCTGTGTCCATCTTCCTGTCATCCCACTGTCCCCTCCCAGAATTTCACTGCAGTCTCCTGCAGTGAATCCTTCTGCATAATCCTGCTGTAGAGGCGGCTCAGTCCCTGAGTTGTCCTTCCCAAACAAAACTAATCTGAAAGCACAACTAAAGGAACCAGCAATTTGCTGAGAAGATGGGCTTCAGCTCCTCACACAGAACAGATAGGTAAACAGTTTCTTGAGAGCGGGAGACGTGCTTACCAGGAAAAAAAAAATTCTGCTCCTGAAAGCAGTTGGCAGTAGTAAATTTTAACAGTGCGACACAGAAACCCTTTCAGCATTTCCACTAAAACTGATCAGTGATGACTGAAGAAAACTTTAACTCAAAGCTACCGTATTTACTTGCTTTAATATTTAGTAGCCTTCCAGCTTAGCAAATGTAGTGACTCAACTGTGTACTGCAATATTTCTTACCATTTAGCTCTCAACATACCTTCCTCCCTTCATCATAGTCAGAATGAACACCTAGTATACTCTGAATATCAGCATGGGGGTATTCTCTTCTAAGAATATTTTTCACATGATTCACTGTCAGAACATTTCCATCTTTCACTTCATGGTACATCTGTAAAAATTATAACAGAAAAAAGTAATTTCTGTAATAATAAAATCCATAAAAGAAAATAAAAATGAAATAAATCTCATGTTTTTATAGTGCTGTAGTAATTTTTATATTGGTATAATATTATATTGCTTTAGTTGCTGCACTACAACCTTTATATTCCTTTAGTAATTACCACCATCACACATACACACATGCAGTTTTTCACTGTTTTGATAAAGCTACTTTTATATCTTTAGTTTAAATTTGAAGAGGCAAAGAAAATGCACTTATATGAGCTAAATGTAAAATGTTATTTCCCTGCAACAATGAGAGAAGGAATCTAAATTCTTAATTTAGTCTACATAATCACCATTGGTTACCTGAATCTATATGGGATGAATTCAAGCCTGAATAGGTAATCAATATTTTCTCCCTACACTGACACTTTTTTCTTACCTTACTATTTTGTTTCATAGCATAAGACTTCCATCAAACATACAAAATAAATCTGAATGAGCAAACAATTCTCATTTCTTTTCAAATGAGATCAGTATAATCCATTTATCTCTACAGCTATGAGTATCTCTGAGGCTTTGCTTTACTGAATCTTATTTTTGCCAACCTATATTTATCATCTCCTCCTTTTCATCTTATGATGTTATGTGAAACAGAGACTGGAAAATGAAATGGAAAAAAAGTCTTTTTTTTTTTAAAAAAAAAGAAAGCACTGTGAAGCAATATTTTTAATGTGGTCATGGATAGCAGTCATGACTGTGTTTCAGATTCTAACACTCGCAGGTACTCCTAGTTACTTCAATTCTTTTTATCTTTAGCTTTCTGAGTTTATGACATAGAATGGCTTGGGTTGGAAGGGACCTCAAGGATCATCATGTTCCAACTCCCTGCCACAGGCAGGGTTAACCTGCAGCTGGATCAAGTAGTAGATCAGACTGCCCAGGGCCCCGTCCAACCTGTCCTTAAACACCCCCAGGGACAGGGCACCCACAGCCTCTCAGGGCAGCCTGTGCCAGCACCTCATCCTTTGTTTTAAAACCATTCCTCCTTCTCCTATCACTATCTACCTGTGTAAAAAGTTGATTTCCCTCCTGTTTATAAACTCCCTTTAGCATTAGTTTTTAGACACTGAACAGAAGAAAAAGTGTAGGAAAAAAATGCAGTGTATTAATAGCATATTCTGTTTTCATTCATGCTTGAAGACTTCACGTAGACTGTTCACTTTATTTCTCTACAGTCACCTCCTTTGTCTCTGAAATTTTATTCTCTACATGAATCTACATCTTCTCACACAGAAAAGTACATTTGTTTCTTAAAATGCAACTCTGCAATATTTCCATGGTTTTGACACTCAAAAGCAGCCTAACCATGACCAAGGACAACTCATCTTACTCTGCTGTGCTTTCTACACTACAGAGTAACAAAGGTTTTCCAAAGCATATAAAACTGCTAGAGCAAGTTTACAATGCATCTTCAAGAGAAGCAGAACAGAGGCAGGTACATAACATTACCAAGAATAATACCAAGAATCATTTTTCCACATTCCCATTATGATTTGCCAAATCATTTTTCTGTTTCTCCACATACGTAAGATATGTGTCTACTTCTTTAAGTCCTCAAAAGAAGCCTATATATAGCTAAAACATGAATGTTGGTTTCCAGAGAAGGAAAATATTTTTTTCAAATAATTATGGGTAAATTAATACTATACACTTTTTAATAATTTGTTTCCATGTGAAGTAAATGCAAATCTATCATGTTGACACAAGGAAGCAAAATCCTAGCTATGTAGACAAGTAGCCAATTTAAAGAAATAGATTTCTTATAAAATAAACTAACATTAATTATGCAGGTAGTGGCTTGAAAGGTGTCAGATTCCTCTGCAACATAATTAAAAGTTCTCCAAAGAGCTATCCCAGCATCTTCATTTCCATCAATTTCTTCTTCTGTATTTAAAATGAAAACAAATCCAATTCTATAAAGAAACAAAAGGATCACACATTTTAAGAAAGCATTGGTTTTATACACATTCTAGTACCTGAATTCGAGGGGGAAACAGAAAAGTTTATGCACTGAAGGTTGCTAAACAGTCAGAAACTGTACCTACGTCTGAAATTCTTTGACCTCCAAATGTATGAACACTGAAAATATTCAGACAAAATATCCAGTTGACCTATTCTTACTTAGGCAGCTCCTTTCAGCTTGCTGCAGACAGACTGATCTAAACTGTTCTTCAGACTGACCCCATTTGGCTGCTTTTATGTTGTTTTGTTCCAGGAAAGGCAAATTAGGTTCTGTGATATGTTCTCCTCAAGGACTGAAGCAGATAGTGACAGAGATGCACAGATAATATCTGCTCTCTGTTACTCTTTTTTTGGTCAGCAAGTAATGATAAAGAAATGCAAAACAAACAAACAAACAAAAAAATCAGAACTAGTAGAAGTTTAAAGGCAACTCAAAATTTCAGATCCTATAATTTACTGGGGAAACAAAAACTATTTCACTGGAACATTTTAAATACTTAACATGCCGTTTGTCTTGCTGAATTTTGGACCTTGTTTGGGCACCCTCTCACAACCTGAGAAACAGATGCGTCAAAGAACAATTCATTTTCTCATAAAGTAGGCAAAGGAACAGCTGGAAAGCATCTCCTCCTCTTGGGTGATTCCTTGTTCAGACTTGGATGACCAATTTTTTCTGAGGTCAATCTCAGTTTGGTCTTCAGATATTTTTAAAAACAATAAAATTACATACAGTAAACACAATTCAAAGAACTAAAACAAACAAAAAATCTCAAATTGTGTTTTTACCAATTATCTGCCTTATTACAGGATATTCATTTTGCTTGGCATGCAATTTCACACGTGCATCCAGTAGGAGTATTTGAGAACGTAACTTTTTATCAGGGTTTGCATACATCTTTCACACAGTCAGGTATGTAATCTCTTTCAATTTATTAGCTTAAGAATTTTTAATACTTCACAGGCTTAACAAGAGCAGCATAAAGACAATGGCTTATTAGAATGTTGTGGCATTGGACTTCATTGGAATTCACACCTTTGCCTAGTAGAATAGAAGATGAAGAAAGGAAAGCAGCTTTCTTTTAAAACTTTCCTTCAATACTTTCAGGTTTTCCTTACCGAAGTGGTACATTATGATGATAGAATAATTCCACCAGTTTCATATAATCGTCTGTATCTTCTTGGACAGGATCAACAAAAAGCACCTAGTAAGAGAAAAGATATTATAGACCAATATTTTTTCTTGATGCTAATTTCAGAGCTATGAACTCCAACTATTTTCAATTTCCTATAAGACAAATTAATGTAAGAAAACATTAATAGTAAGAAAGAAGAAAACTTCAGAATTAATGCATTTGGAGGAAATACTAAGTCACTGTTTTATTTTTTTAATTATACTTAATTAGAAGGATGTAATGCTAATTTTCCTATTACTACTTGCATCTAACTCTCTTCTGTCATGAAAACCAAACTAAAACAAGTAAACAGAATATGTTGGCATAAGACTTTAATTAAAAAAAGGAGCACTGGAAGAAATTCTTCTCTCCTGTCTCACATCGGCTTGTATTCACTGTTTCACTTGTTGAAGCTTGAGGTATAAAATACTCTTTTAGGCACACACCAAATGTAAAACTGGTATTTGTCTGCACAGATAGATTATACTTATGCAGACTTAATCATCACATTGGTACACTGAATACATATGCAATATAGAATATACACAATTTGTGCTTCATTACAAACATGCGTTTTTTAATCATATTGTTTGTGTTTCGGTTTTCTTTTAATACACTGAGTTTCACAGAAACTCCTTTTGTAATTATTTAAAATCTGCAATAGCTGCTTCCTTAACTTACTAAGTCATACATAATTATACAGACAGAGGAAAAAATAGGCTACAGACCTTTATAATTAGTATGCCTTTGAACCTAATCTTTCTGTAACACGGACAATTAAGCACCATCTTTACTCAGTAGTGTTCTATGAAGAAAATAAATTGATAATTGGGAATTATCAATATGTAGTAAAGAAAAGCTCCTGACAAAACAGTGCCCAAGTCAGACATTGTAGAGTGTAAAAGGAAGAAAACAATTTTATGGGGGGGAAAAAAATGGAATACTGATATTTGGTTCAATCAGTGAGTAGAAACTATTCTTTGCAGTGTACTCAGCAAATGTCCTTTGGAAAAAAAATGTGTAGTTACGAAGGTCCAAGAATTACAGTAAAGCAGAAGGAAGCTGCAGAGCTACCCCTATCCCCAAAAATAGTATCAATTTTGTGTTATTTTAAAGAAAATAATCTCAAACGTTTTTTCCTAGGTAAGCACTCATTAAACACTAGTATTAATAAAGAAAAATTAAGTCCTTGATGCTTTATTCATCATGTGGAAGTAGCTCATGATTTATTTTCCTCTTTACTAAAAAAATTTTAAAAAGTTTGCATTCCTCTGTCAAACTGTAAAAATACTGCATTTTGAATATGAGTTATATAATTTCCTTGGCAGAGAGGTTGAAGAGTGTTAATTATTTTATCCAACAAATCAGAAGAAATTCATAACATTTTCTTCCTTACAGGGCTTGAATAACTCCCTTCCTGCCTCCTTCAGTGCTAATCCCATGTATTCTTTCCATCTCCTAAACTATATATCCAGGCAGACCTTTCATTATTTTCATTATTTCCAAGTGTAACTTCAACGATATATAAAGGCAACCTAATTGCTTGAGAAAGAAACCTAAACCAGAGGTGAATCTTCCAGGAAACTGGTTAACACTTTCTAAAACAGTTTTAAAATGAAGCACACATTCTTCCTTTCCTCTAGAAGTTGGTGGCCTGCTGGTACATAATTTCAATCTTCACATTTGGCTCTGAAGCTTCATAGTTACTTACTAATCATAATGGTGACTCTACAAAGGATGGTCTCTTCTCAATGGAGACAGGATGAGGGGAAACGGCCTTAAGTTTCACCAGGGTAAGTTTAGGTTGGATATCAGGAAACACTTCTTTACTGAAAGGGTAGTTAAGCACTGGTACAGGTTCCCCAGGGAGAGGTTGGGTCACCATCCTTGGATGTGTTTAAAAGCCACTTGGATGTGGTGCTCAGGGACATGATTTAGCAGAGGGCTGTTAGAGTTAGGGTAGTATGGTTAGGCCATGGCTGGACTCAATGACCTTTAAGATCTCTTCCAACCTGAGCAATTCTATGATTTCAGTAAACGAAGAGGTTAATTTATAATGAGGTCAGTTGCACAGCATAAACACAGATTAACAGCTTGCTTGCAAAGCTTCTAAACTAAAAAATAAATAGGGAATTAAAACACTGCTTTTTATGGCAGCATCTACAACATGGAATTTCTCAATTAACTAGTCTCAGTTGGACATTCATGACTTAACTGTCGTGGGAAATCAGGCAGATTTAAAAATAATTTCTTGTTGCTCTGAGCACCCTGATCTAGCTGTAGGTGTCTCTGTTCTTCGCAGGGGAGCTGGACTGGTCGACCTTTAAGGGTCCTTCCAACTCAACAATTTTATTCTTCTTTGCCAAGTAATACACAGCTCTTATAGTAAGCAGGTTTTTGAACTCCAGTTTTAGGCTCTTCACTTATGACCCTTTACTCTTACGTACTTTGAAGAATTTAATTTGAAGATCACAGTACTGTATATTTCTTCTGTCTTTGATCATTAATATCTGTTGTCTATATTACCCATGGCCAAATATACACAAAATGTACCAACATACACATACTTACATCATGACTACAAAAGAAGTCTAGGTTACCAAGAAACTCTTTTTGCAGAATGCAATATTTAGTATTAATTATAATTCTGAGATAATCTCATATAAATAAATCACCAAAAATCTGCTACGCTCAGTAGATAAAAGAAATAACACCTCTAGAAATCATGTTAATAATCACGTAAGACTGACAACACAGTCAGCAGGCTCACAAAGTATGTGAATTTTTCAATAAACTGTCTGTGTATATAGCAATACATATACCGTGCAAAAAAAACAACAACTTCAACTTACCAGATTATATAAATTGCGTCTAATCTGTGGTATAACTCCAGGAAATGTGGGTTTTAGCAGTTCCTGATAGCTTGCAGGCCATGTCACGTAGCTGCGGTCCTTTTCTATGTTATTAATCCACTAAAACAAAAAAGCCAACCATTTAAAAAACACACATTACCTAATGGATAAAATACGGGTGTATAAATAAAGCTGTACTGAAATACACAGAAAATCCAGAAAAAGTAAAATCCCTTGGCCCCTTTTCTTAATTAGCAACAGAAAATAGCTTGTAAGATTAATAGATCCTTTATTTTCAATAACACTTCATTTTTTTTTATTCGCGGTATGTTATAAAACTAATTATGAAAGGAAGAGGAAAAAAGATCCCTCGTGTTCTGTATCAAAATGCAAATAAAACCATTATTTCAAGTGTGAAAAGTACTTTTGCAACACAAAGGTCATAACAACTAATCAGGCAGGTATATTTGTAACAGAACATAACCATACTGAAAAACATACAATGTTTATCTATCACCTGCTGTAGCACTTAGTATATATCAGAATAAGTCAGTAATTAATATATTGTCAATTACAGTCTATATTTATATGTCTCTAAAAATACAGTTCCCCCTTTTCCTTTCACTTTCACATTATTATAAATTGCTGTGTACTGCTCTTGTGCTGTTTTATGTGCAAACCATCTATAACTGCCAAACAAAAGAGAGATACAGGCTTTTTTCAGGTGAAGAAAATAGTATTTTAATGCCTTTCCATTTGCAAATAATCTTTGTTTTGAAAACTAAGACCTTTGATAAACTTTGAGAAGTTGGATGCTGGACAACTGTGAGCACCTGTACATTCTCCACAATTCACTTATTATATTTGTAAGGTACACTTTGCAGTCTTCCATAACACAAAGATGTTACATAGCAAGATCAGTTGCTTCAAAGTCAAATTCTACTATGATTTGCAACTACTCTTCGATCCAGTCTTCTTTTCTTCTAAACATCCTACATCTTCCAATTTTATTAAGGCATACACAAGAGAAAATAAATCCTAAAATAGACTGAAGAGATTCCACCCTCAAAAATATGTTTTTATGCGCAATATTTCAAAACAAAACCCAAAAACCCAGGACTCTTCCTAGATAGAGTTAACAAATATATAGTATTTAAATAAATAATTATTTAAATACTCACTATTATTGAAGAGTGACGAATGTCTAGTGCATAGCTGTTATCTGCTGGATGAATATGCAATCTCATAAATTTACTCAGGATTTCCTCTTGGATTCCAAGTTCATGAAGGCCATGCATTACTTTCCCTTCCACTTTAAGAGTCTCTAAGATACTTTTTCAGGAAAACAAAATGCATAATGACTATATAGAAATCTTTTCAAAGCATAAAAAGGAAAAATATTTCTGTTAAATATGACTGTTAAGCCAAGGATTACATTTAGCATTAAAAATAATTCTTATGTTCTCCTACTGTCATTCTCAAAACCAAAGTTTATTCCCAACACTGCACATACGTATCTTCAACATATTTCAAAACAGAATTATAACAGATTATGCAACTCTTGTTTATTCACATTTATTTTACACGAAGGAATTTCCTCTATCTTTAAGAAGATGTGGCAGGACAGCAAACTGGAAGGCTGCTTGTTGCACTGTCCTGGCTGAGGCAGAAACCCAAGAGTGGATACGCTAAGCAGCAGCTTTGCAGACATGGAGATAGGCAGCAATCAATGGAGACACAGACAAGACCCACGTCTGCATCATGGCCAGCCTATGAAAATGGAGGGGAGGAAACACATAGCTAAGGTGATGTGAAGAAAGCCCCAAAAGGACTCCAATATTTGCTGCAATTTGCAAATTCAATATAGTAACAGGAAACAAGCCTGAAATACTTGCTTGTATTGCTGAACACAGATTTTACATGTCTTCATTTCCGCTTCATTCTGAGTTTTCTCTATTCTGAGAAGTTTCTTCTAAATTATATTGAAATTGGACTTAGAATTATCATTTTAATATGCCTACTATTATTTGCATCGTTATTAAAAAAAAATGAAGATGCAACTGTCTCTACCTCAATGCTCTGGCTGAGAAAAAAAGGTAAGTTAAAAAAAATATATATATATAAATGCTAGAATCAATAAAGTTTATGGATCTCTATGATGGAGAATGCACTATGGGTGGGAAAATTAAAAAAAAGAATTGCAGGTTGCCAAATCACAGGAATAAGGAAAAAACCACCCTTCTGTCTTCCTATCAGGAAATTTATGGATAGTAAAAGCCAACAAAGATGATTTTGAAATAGTCATGTCCATCCTGCTGTTGACAACATAAAGAATGGAAAACGTCCACAAGTTTTGAGAGGCAAATCATAGGAAATATACTGTAATTACACAAACTGCAAAAAGATTTTTTAAGCCAAAAACTATCAGTTCATAACAATTCACTGGAAAAAATTACCAGACACAGACTCACTGACATGCCTGAAATAATCCAGCTGAATGTAACACTTATTTTTTTTCCCCTGAATCTTATAAAATGAAGATGAGACAGCACTTTATTTTTTCAGAAGCGTTCTTCCCATCTTTGTATGCATACATGTTGAATTCCTCCCATTTCCAAATCAATTTTAAGCAATTTTAAGATATGAAATAATATGTAAGTTACAGAACACACATTCCTAGAAAAAATACTGTTTTCAATTTCTTCCACAATGTTGGTATTCAAAGCAAAACTCTCTTTTGGAATACTTCCTGGCTCCCAGAGAGCAACACATTAGCTTGTTTATCACCATGAGCACAACTCCGGTATTCTTTGTAATTCTGTAATTTTCAAGACAAACATATTCTCTTACCTAAATGGATCATGAAAATCCAGGTCAATATGAAGGCCATTTAGAAATAAACGTGCTTCACCAGGTTGGATTCCAAGTGTTTCATGAAGGTGCTTAAAAATGAAAAGTACTGCTAATTATTTAGGTATATGTAAACACTAACACAGACATACGTACAAAACTATAAGTAATCCTACAAAACAGACACATCAAATCTCTTCAGCATGATAACTTCTTTTATCTGAATGTTATCAGTAAAAATACTGAAAGCATACCTCTACACTTCCAGTCCTTCAGGAAATACAAGTGAATATGCCCCAAAAAACAACCTACATCACTCCTACTTGTACACATTCTCAGTCTACTGACCAAAAGTGAAAATACACACAAAAATAAAAAAACATGACACAAATTTTTTTGAAAAATTACCCCAAGAATATTCCTCCTATAAAATCTATTAACTTCCAAATGGAGACTAAACGGAGACCCTATATGTGGCCTTCAGTCCTCTACTAGAAATCAGCTTTCTCAGAATCTTCCAGTATTCGAAAAATGTGCAGTAGCAACTCGAGGGAAGATAGTAAAGATAGATTAGAAGAATACAATATCATTTATCAAAGGTACCTTGAAAAAAAAACAGATAAGAAACGGAAGCATATTCTTGCTTTCCAAAGAAGAAAAAACTCCACAATAATTAAATAAACAAATGAAGAAGGAAGTTTCTAGTACGGACTGCCTTATTTTATTTTCCCAGAAAGCAGTGAGGCACCACGCTGTTCAAATTAACAACAGTGGCCATACCAAGATAACAGGAGCAACAACAGCAGTTTATTCAAACTCACATCATGAAGAGCTGTCATATTTCCATATCTGTGTTCCCAACAGAGAACTAGTAAGTTCGAAAAAAAGAAACTTTTTTCCCCCCATCTAGCTTTCACTTATTGCATAAAACAACAAAAAATACACCTTCAAGAAAAGCACACTTCGACCAAGCAGCTCGTGCTGTATATATTATTCCACTTATAAGACTGTATCTGTAGTTAGCAAATCTAATTCTGACCATGGTTTTAATACTAGAGTTGTGCCACAAAGTCCTGTAACTACAGAAAATTCCCCGTTGATGTCACTTGATTCAAGGAATAGACAGCAAACATAAGGAGGATTCCAGTCAGGGTGAGATGTCTGGAGCACAAGCCTTACGAGGAGCTGCTGAGGGAACTGGGATTGTTTAGTCTGGAAAAGAGGAAGCTCAGGGGAGACCTTATCACTTTCTACAGCTGAAGGGAGGTTGTGTGAGGTGGGGATTGACCTCTTTTTTTGGGTAACAGTGATAGGACAAGAGAGAATGACCAACTGGACCAAAGGAGGTTCAGGTTGGACACTTGGAACATTTCTTCTTCGAAAGAGTGGTTAGGCATTGGAATGGGCTTCCCAGGGAGAAGGTTGATGCGTTCAAGAAATGTTTAGATGTTGCAGTAAGAAATATGTTTTAGTGCAGAAATGTTGGTGGTAGGTGGACAGTTGGACTAAATGATTGTGGAGGTCTTTTCCTACCTTGATGATTCTATGATTAACAGAGATATCAATAAAACCACAACTGGCTGATTTAGGTCATACAAACATTAACTTCACAAAATGAATGCAAGAACAAAGAAGTATCACTCACTACATGCTTCAGGATTTTCAAATCCTTCAGTATAACTGCGGAGAACTGAGCTAAATCAGAGCTGAGACATATTACATAATTTTGATGCTAGACATTTGATTGTTCAGTTCATCCATCTGCCTTAATAAACATTGACAGAAGGAATATTTAGGCATCCAGGACTAGAATTTAATTCCCATAATATATCCATATACTATTTTCTTGCTAAACTGTCAGCAAATTATTGCACTGGAAGTTTTGTTTAACTGGATCTTCTTTATTTATATATATGAGTTCTTTCTCTATTTTTTAGTTAGATATCAACTAATTACATCTAAATCATCACATGCCTTTCAACTTTTAATACCTTTATTTTCTCCCATTACATTTACTATTCAACTTTCATTATCTTGAGAGGGAATCATTCAGTTACTCACAGCATGAGATCATATCTCTCCTGCTGCTAGATGGATGTACTACAGTTCAAGAATGCACATGCCTATTTATTGTGCAGTGTTCAGGAAGTTTCCCTACTTTTATTCAACATATTTTAGTTTTTAGCTGTGTGAAGACCTGTAGTCTCAAGTAGGATGTAATACGAAACATAAACTTAAGTGCCTAAGATCCTGTTATAGTTAATGTATTCAATACAGTCTATGGAATCATATAAGTAATTCACATAATCAACCACAAAGATTTCCAATGTCATTTGAGACACTGCAAGGTTTCAAGATTAAGTTTTCAGTCTGGAAAGTACAGGTCATGGAGAAAGGATGTCTCCATATCATGATCACCAGACCTCTGTGGCTAACTCAGATGCCCTGTGGCATCTCAAATGACATCAAAAATCCAAGTGTAAGCAATTCAGTCACACCCACAAAACAACTGCTGAGTGAGCCGAATTGCTTTTCATGTCCACTAACTACACCTCTGTTAACACTGTTATAAAATGAGTTTAGATACCGATATAGATGTGTCTAAGTTTGGTTATCTCCTTTCCAAATCAAATCTTCAAGTAACTGCCTAGTCTTCATATTTAGTAGTAATACCCATTTTAACTCCTGATATATGTTTAATTTTTCTGCATTTTTGGGGTAGAGAAGTAGATCTTGCTTAAGAAATTGCTTTTTGTTTTTGTGTTTACAGAGCTATACTTGAAGCAATACACTGTAAAGAGCTTTCCACATCAGGCAGTATGGAAGGACCTGATCTTAACATTCATATACTCTGGAGAAAGTCATTTATCTTGACTACGCCCTTTACAACAAAGGAATACAGAAAAACACATCTCAGATGTACAACAAAAGCCATGGAGCGGGGTGCAGATACAGAGTTGCTTCTATGAGCAAAAACTATAAAACTTTTTACTAGAGGAAGAAGCAAGAAGTCTCCATAATGCAAAGCTCACCCAAAGATCTCAGAGAAAACACCAAAATGCATCATCTACCCAAAAAATCAATACAGCACCTTGAGCACAAGAAGAGAGAAGGGCCCAAGATGGTGAAAAAATTGCAAAAGAGGAAGTTACAAAAGTTCCAGAGTGCCTTAAGAAATAAACTCCATCACTGTACTGGCTGGTCAGTCTTAACATCATACAAAAACATATGTTCTGACCAACATATAAAGTCACAGACTGAAAATCAACAGAATGTTGCCTACTCAGAACTTAATTGGCACATAACAAGAAATCAGATTTTCCAAAACTAGTTACAGGGTTTGTTCACCACTCTGCCTCTTTAACAGGAAACAGCCACTTGTAGAAATGTCTGCTACTTGAGTACACAATGCTTAGCAATGGCATGCAATAGCAATATCAACTAAAAACTGGGTAATAGATATTAAAGAAAGATTGAGTACATGGATATGCCATCCAGTCAAGGACAACATTTATGTGGCCTAGTGATACAGAAACAACCAGGTCTTTACAAGATTCATTAAAAACAAAATAATGATGACTTGTTGTTTCATGTGACCAAATCTAAAAGCATGACAGCTATAGTTTAATACTGAATTTGAAACAACAAATCCAAACTCCATACTGAGACAGAAAAAGTAAAGTGGCACCTTAGCATTGACCTGAGATCAGTAAAAACACACAAATGACTCTTTGCGTGATACAATGAACAAAAGATGCAGTGCAGCAAGGATGAAAATACATCCACCATTTATCACAGATGATGCTCAATATATCCTGCAGAAGAGTTGTATACATGACTCCAGCAACGTGGAAAGCTCCAAACTGGCATGCTCTGACTGTGACATGAACAGCAGACCTAGATTCAACACCAAGTACTAGAGAAGATTAACAGCTATCATAGCATACAGTGAAAGACTGAACACAGCGCTCCATAAAAAACTGTTTGTCCTTGCCTAATTCTGCAAAGCAAAAAGGGTGAAAGGCAGAAGTGCCAAGAACAGCAGAAAATAAAAATAATGAATTGAGAATTTCAATGTTATTTATGTAGTAAACGACAATAACTTTTCTGCTCTGAAAGAAACCATGCGAAAGTTGCTGCACTCATACAAATGTTCAAATGCAGCAATACGATAGTAACTCAAATGAGGAGAAGAAATAAAAGCAAACCTTCTGATTTTCTTCTATTTCATTTCTCATTTGCTTGTCGACAGACACTCTGGTCAATGATCTGTAAAAATAAAATACCAGCAACACTCAAACGTTTTAATTTTAAAACTAAATTAATGCAAAATTATTTTAATATCATATTTAATGTACTGAATTGAAAAATGCTATAATTGAGACAAAATGTCTCAATGCATAGTCTTATGTTTTATTTTCAAAACAAATATCTCCTGTGTTACTCTTGTTAATGTAAGTTTCAAATCTATGCTGTTTTGTTGAGGTAATATTATTAGCTTTTTTTATACAACTCTCAGTCTTTCCTCTTACCTATCCGGAAAATTGTATGCATACTACAAAAAAGTCAGTCATCTGATCATCTAAAACATTACCTAAAATATACTAATATGACATTTATTTAAGTTATGTTAGTAACTCATCACTACTCAATGTTAGAGCACAGGTGGCCAAGGACACAATCTGACGCTTTGCCCTTTCTTTTGCAAAAACATATGCAAAGAATGACTTCTTTAAAATTAGCTGAGGGATTAGAAAAGAGATTTATTGATTAAGAACATGTTGAGTATTCACAAGCAGTTGAAAATTTACTATGCTTAGCCATTCTACTTGTAAGAGATAATCCTCTTTTTTATCTTACCTTTCAAGACTGTTTTACCTTCACCTGCCACAAGCTATAAATTTATCACTATCAGGCTAGGGTAAAGTACACCCAGAGGAAAATTAATCTAATCAGATTACAAGAAGCCCCAAGCCATATTAATTTAAATGCGATTACCCTAATAAGTGCTAACATAAATACTCTACTGTCTACATATTTTCTCCCCACACACGCTAAAAATGTACATAACTGTGTATGGTTTAGGAAATCTGGATGGGGCTTACAGAAAAACTGAAGTCATTCTAAATCTGAAGGTAAACCAAACAGAATTAAGAACTAAGTCAACTTCAATACTCACAGTAGCAAAACAGTTATTAAATAATACAAACTCTCACTTCCACTCTCCAAAAAACAGAAATGATTTAATAAATCTCGTTAATAAATTCTATATAATCTACGCCAGGAATAATACTTAAGATCTGTTTACTTCAAACAAAAATTCAAGCGATCAAGGAGACTTGTTAAGAGCAAACAATGTGATTTCCACATTTTGTTTGCAAGTATTACGGAATTCATCACAGCTTAGCCTCCTCTATGTAAATTCCTTTTTCCTCTGTCCCCCTGTAAAGTCTAGTAAGTTCTTTTTGCTACCATGAATCCCTTCTGGAACATGAGATGAAATGGCAGTAGAGGGTCTAGAAGGAACTGTATTTATACAAGCCCATAGTTGGCTTAAAGTTGGCCAAAATAGGAAAGGTGTAACTCAAACTGTGATGTCAAAGACAGTATAAAACAACAGTCAAAACACCCTCAACAGTCAGTGGAGGGTGAGCTTAATGACTGTTGCTTATGATTATTGCTTGTGATTATAGGAAGAAACCTAAGAGTATTTTAATTCCTGTTACTGTATTCTTAAATAACAGATTTTTTAAGACATAAGTAACAAATCAAAACTGTAAATTATCTTATAAAATCTTATCAAAACATCAACATGAAATGTATCATTTGTTAGACTGTTCACATATGATGATGTTTTGTAAAATCCATTTCAGCTGACACAGAAATGCAGGTAATAAAATAGAAAGTGGAAGAAACTTCCGAGGGACGGCATATTAATTTTTATGGCCTAGAGAATCCTTCAATTTTTAAGGAACATATAATATTGAACTTTCATTTTCGTAACTATAGTTCTAAAATTTTTATACATCATTTTCAAACCAAAATTTGCATAATGAAAGAATAGGCAATTGCATATCTAAACTATGTGGAATGTAAAATAATTTTTGGACATGCTTTTTAGATAGTACCCCTCTGATTTAAGATTGTTGTCAATGGAGACCTACTAATTATTTAAATTATTTAAATATTTGTAACCTTTCACGTTCAAGATAAGAGTAAATTATACAGGGCAGGAACTGCAACTCCCCTTTTAGTAGATTTGAAGTCTTATACTTTTCCCCAGAAAAACAGAAATAAAATGCTTGAAGAGTAGGTAAACTGTTCTGCAGTGCCACAAACAGACAGTGGGAGTTGGAATGGGATATAACAATTTATGGCTTTTGAAACCAGTGACCTGAATGCCACCTAGACTATTTCATGCTGTCTTCTTTCCAGTACTTTACAGAATAGAACTGACCTTGCAGTTCAACATCATGTACATTTCTACCCCTTTGTAATGAAAACCTGCATGTCCTAGTTGCTAATACACGTGTAAACTTTTACCTTACCATTTTGCAATAATTATGTTTCAGGAATTTTAAACCTTATTTTACTTCCATTACAGTGCAGATTTTTGCTAACAGAAAATCAGAGATGACATTGAAACATTACATGATAGTTAAAGGAGTTATAAAATGTGAAAGCACACTGAGTTAAAAGCCGTATTTAGCATCATCTTTAATTCAGTACTTCAAGCAAACAGTGCTGATACAATTATGTGAAGAACTTATTAAATGTAGAGAAAAACATTTCTCATTTGCAGTACAATTGTCTTGCAGGAAGGGCAATCTTTGATATTAGTACAAAGGAAATTGTTATTAATCTATTTACCTTGATCTTTTGTTAACTAATCTGTAATTGAAGACAGATCCTCCCCTGTAAAAACTCTAACATACAGAAGCCAGAATCATATCTAATAAACAATGCTGTACTTAGATCTAAGTGTGGGTTGATCTCCTATGAAATTAAGAGAATTTTGCCTACTCTTAGTGCAAGTAGATCTGCTATTAATTCAACAGAACTCTGCATCTGTGAAAATGTAATTCCAGTAAAAGCCAGGACTAGGCCTTCAACCACAAGTGCATGAAGGATTAGGATGCCTATAGGATACCTCATCAGGAGTCGGAAAACAGTTAAGAGACCAATCATGAACTCTCCGAGGAGTTATTATCTACTCAATGAAACTGTCTGGAATGCATCTAGCAAGCTGTAAAACGTGAATACCTGACTGCAGAATTTGGGTATAAATCAGAATTGCTGTTATTAAATTCAAAAACAAACATAAAACAGTATTTGAAAAACAACCTGAAGTATCATACCTGGCTCTTATTGGGAAGTTCTGAGCTATGTCTTTCATCACCTTTAAGGCATCATAAGCAGGGGTAGACATAATTCGAGCAGCTGCTTGAAAGCTAAGATCTGGGAAAAAAATCACTGCTAATATCAATACTGCCTACAATCAGAAAACCTTTCATATACACACTTTATTTTTTCTAATGTTTCAATTAAACATTTTACAAGATTATAGAGGTTGAAAAGATAGGCATTTAAGAAGCTGAAAGTACCAAAATCAGGGCTTCCCAAACAACTTCTGTTTGGGCATCTTGTGCAAAATATAAACGCAATTTCCAAGTTTTACAAAAACATACTGAAATAAGACAACAGGCAACACATAGTATTACATCAGTATTATAAATGTATCATGTTCAAATGTAGATATGGATTAACCCACTTTATGGTATATATAACCATCTTTATAGCTCCGGGACTTCACAGGTTTTTCAGGGAACAGATAGAATAAATCTAAGAAGTCAGTATTGATTCTGATTGCATTCTGAGTTAGCCTAATATAAGGTGCACCCGAGTGGAATGAGAAGTTGAGTTTCAGAGGTGGATAGTCCACTAGAAATTTCTTAATTTTATAACAATACTTCCAATAACGAGATCACTGTTTTCAACAACAACATTTCGGATCTCTTTCAACAGCCACATGAGCTGTGATCAAGTGAAGCAATACTGGGTTGTTATTGCTGCTACAGGTAGTGATGCCTCATCTGCTGTGCAATGGGGATATGTACTTAAAAGCCTTGCATAATCCTTCAAAATTACTAATCTTTTCCATCTAATGCTGAAGAGCTTAGAGCACAAATATTCAAATCTCCTTGAGGAGAGCAGGTATGTCTTTGTACTTTCTTGGTTTTCTCTTGTCGGGGACTTGTATTTAAAGACCTCCCTGTTTTGGCACTCAACACAGATGAGAGAGCAGTGTAGGGCACCTTGGGGAAAAGATGAGTCAGAGCTTAAATTAGATCTCAAAGTATGCTTTGAAAGCTAATGAAGCACTAGAAATCAAGAGGGTGCTCACACAGATAAAAGAATGAGTTATTAAAGGGAATATCACATCGATACTCTGTACATCGTTTTTCAGTATGAATAGCAAATCTAATTACTTATCTAAAACACACGGCTCTTAAACTGGATTCTTGAATAGCATTTAGGGTTTGCCTGACAGCTGAAGGAGTTTTGGTTAAATTTGGGTTAAATTCTTACTTGGAGGCTAAAGCAAGAAAACCAGAGAGTAGCTGAGCCACTAATACAGCTAATATCATTAGTTACCGAGAACAAACTAGAGAAAAACAATCACGTCAGGATGAAAAGTATCAATACACCATACAAAGAAAGAGCTGAAGACCTCAACTAAGAAGGTCCCGAATGTATTCATCATAAGTCAGTACCAATTTTTCTGGCACTGAACAAACAGCTTCCCACCCTGAATAATTTCAACACCTGTATGAGCTGGCTGTCTGGACTGCAGCCCCAATTTCATTTCTGTTTATACAGCATCACCATAGAAAAGGCGGCCACTACACACAGATCTTATACTTGCTTTTAAAGGTAGACACGAAAGAGATCAGAGCTGAAACTAAATTTAACATTTGAGATAACATGTCCATCAGAAAACTGCAATTTCATTTCTGTGTTTAAAATCAGTAAGTCTAGTTATGGTCCTCATTCACACAAAATGAATTCAATGTTCCTCAAATTTCTATCACATAATGCTAGCATTACAAGAAGTAACATGTTCTTTTTAAATACCTGATATAGTACTGTTTTTAATGAAACTATATGTTTCTTTTTTAAAAAATGAATTAGAATACTGGTACATCGACATAACAAAGGAAAATAGACAGCATTGTGATAATACAGAAAACTGTGCTACATACCTTGTAATTCCCAAACCTTTAGTGGTTCCATGCTGTTTGTAGTTTCAATTAGATGTTTTTTAAACTCTTTCAGATTATTTTTCAGGTCAGGATGCAATTGTCTATACCAAAACGTTTTAAAATAAAGATAAAATTAATGATATCCATCAATGTCTGATTTATCTACTGCATGAAACTGAAAGTTGTTATAAAATAAACAGTTAGTCCAGTACTAGTACTAGTATTAGTAGTCTAGTACAGTTAGTTTACTATAGCATAAAATATGCCTAATGGTATATTAACTGAGTTGTGCAGTAACACACAGCTTGTTGTATTAGCCACGAAATACATAAGCAAGCTAGTGGCTGTAGAGAATGAGAATGCCAGGAAAGAGAATGTATTTAATAAATTAACATCACTGCCAAAATCAAGCTACTGAGCACACAAGTCACTAGTCAGACTTGAAGACGAGCACAGTTGCCCAAAAACTTGGCTATCTGGTAAATGCAGATAAATCCAGCTGGTCACGAGTGGTGATCCACGGGGTTGGTACTGGGGTCTTTCCTGTTCAATAACATTACTGATGACCTGGATGAGGGCATTGAGTGCACCCTCAGTAAGTTTGCAGATGACACCAAGCTGGGAAAAAGCGTTGATCTGCCTGGCAGTAGGAAGGCCCTACATAGTGATCTGGAGAGGCTGGATAGCTGGACTGAGACCAATGGGATGAAGTTCAACAAGACCAAATGCCGGGTCCTGCACTTCAGCCACAACAACCCCAGGAAATGCTACAGGCTTGGAGCAGAGTAACTGGAAAAATGTGTGGAAGAAATAGGTCTGAGGGTATTGATCAACACTTGCCTAAACATGAGCCAGCAGTGTGCCTAGGAGGCCAAGAAGGTCAGTGGCATTCTGGCTTGTATCAGAAATAGTGTTGCCAGCAGGAGCAGGGAGGTGATCATTATTGTACTCAGCACTGGTGAGGCCACACCTCAAGTACTGTGTTCAGTTTTGGGCCCCTCACTGCAAGACAGTGAGGTCCTGGAGCGTGTCCAGAGAAGGACAACAAAGCTGTGAGGAGTCGGGAGCACAAGTCTTATGAGGAGCAGCTGAAGGAACTGGGATTGTTCAGTTTGGAGAAGAGAAGGCTTAGGGGTGACCTCATTGTTCTCTACAATTACCTGAAGGGAGGTTGTGGCAAAGTGGGGATTGGCCCTTTCTCCCATGTAACTAGCAATAGGACTAGAGGGAATGGCCTCAAGTTGCACCAGGAGAGATTCAAGTTTTACGTTAGAAAAAATTTCATTGAAAGTGCAATGAGGCTCTGCAATGGGCTTCCCAGGGAGATGGTGGAGTCACCAATCCTGAAGCGGTTCAAGAAACATTTAGATGTTGTACTGAGGGACAAGGTTTAGAGGGGGAATACTGGTAATAAGTGGACAGTTGGACTGGATGATCTTGGGGGTCTTTTTCAACCTTGGTGATTCCATGATTTTATGATCTTTTTCCAAGACAGCTGGGGTACGAAGCTTTGAAAGCAAAACTTCAGCCTGTGATAAGACTCTCCAATGGCAAACCATCTCCTTTAAATTTCTCAAGACTCTTCTATGAGATTATAGAACAAGAAGTAAAAAGTAGCTAAAAGCCATATATTTAAAGCATCAACACTGATTTCCATAATATTTCATTTCACTGTATATATGAAGAAGTTTCACAAGTAATTTTGTGTCCCTTCCCCCAAAAATCTTTTTTAGCTATTGGAGACTTTTTATAAAGGGATGTTACCCTTCAAAGGAAAAAAAAAATAATTCACATATGAAGTTTGTTGTTCTGGGATTAAAATGAAATCTAGGTTCCTTGGAGAAAGCACGCTTAACTGAAAAGGGAAGCAAAAACAGAAAATACCTTTTTTCTTACAACAGAAATGATACAAGTAGAAATGACAAACATGGTTTGTACTCTTATAAATTCCTCCATGAATTAGCACTTTTAACTAGTTTTGAACTTTTTAATTACAATTTTAACTGTTTTCCTTGCAAATTTATATTGATTTTTTTTTTCTTCTGACCCCTGTTCTTCTGTGAATTAAAGGCAATTGAGTAATTAGACCTAGCTACAAGCTGCAATCAAAATTGAATATTGATGCTTGCTACTTTGTTTCTGTTGATCATTTATACTACAGATCAATGTGAACATAAAATTGGGCACATGTAAAGCCAACTTAAAAAAAGCTGTCCTTCTCTGGATATGTATAATCATGTAGCAATGAATTATGTTATTTTGCATAACCAAGCAGTTGTGGATATAAGCAGAAGTTATAACGTCTTAGAAAGACAACTATTTCACAGCTGAGAAAAGAATAAACTTCGGCATGGCTATAACTGAGGGACAATTTAAAGATTCTTGTCACATTTCTTTCATCTCCAGTATGAAAAAGGGAAAAAATGAGATCCTAGAAACACTGGTTTCTGAGTAATTGTCTGATAGCTTCACAAATTGGCTACAGTGCAACACTAAGAGCCTAAGTATAGCTAAACCTAGCACAATCCAAGAAGAAAAAAGCTCAGATAAAAATATGCCATGAGTATCTGATTTAACCTGCTGCAAAAGGTCTCTACAGATAGAAGAAGTGATAAGGAAGCTTGCGCTTCTATCTCAATGTGTTTATCTTAAAAATGGTAGAATTTAGCAGATCAAAACTCTGGGAAGCCATAAACTTTGGTGAGAATATCTACAAGTTCACTTTCTGCTTTAAAAGATAAGAGAAAGTGACACTAGAGAAGACCTACAATCCTGCTTCAGGAAAAGGGAAGCACTTTTGATGGTTGCAATCATGAAACGAATCAATCAATCAATGACCAGAAATAGCCCACAGATCTCAATAGGAGAGCAGCTCCAATTTCATCTATCAATTGGATTAACAGACTGTAACTTGGAGACAGAAGTTCCTGCAAGAGCAGAACACAAATTAACAAACAAATATATCATCCCTTAAGCCCAAGAAATTAATGACTATCCACTTCGAAAACACACCGATTTTTTCGTGTCTGTATCTAAGGTCTTGTTTCTCAGAGGGAATTTCTGCCTTTGAAAATAGTTTACTGCATACATTTGAAGAAAATCAGAAGGCTAAAAGCAATAAATTGAAATTAGTAGACTAAACAACGACTGCATCTTTACACTCACGAGACATACAATAATGAATTAATCAGAATTTTCAGCCATAGAGAACAAAAGCGTTTTCCACACAGATTTTCCTTCTTCTATATACATATATAGAGAGAGGGGAGGTGGGGAGGGGGGGAGTTAACATTCCAGAAACAAATGCAAGAGTTCCATTATGACTTCTGACAACTCACTTTAATTTGCCAAAGATAAATCCTTGGACATCACTTTCCTCCTCCTCCTCATCTTCCTCTTTTCTGGTTTCATTTGTTACTGAACACACAGCACATATATGCAGTACAAGAAAAAGAAAGTTACTGAAGTACTCTGATATATAATTCTTGCTAATTATAAAACTGTTAACAGAAACATGTAATCAGAAAGCTGTCACTCCCAGATGCAATTTCAATTAGATTTATATCTTTGCCTTCATATTTTTGGCAGCAGAATGAATCACTTTGCAGAACATACCAATATTCAAATTATTTTTTTTAATTTAGTTTGTCTAATGTTTAGAATTTCAATATAAATTAAACTGCTATGATTAAATAGTTCAATTCCCATAAAAGTCATTTCTCAGTTTGATTGAGTGGTAAGGTACAACTCCTATCAGCCAAATAGGAATCTCCAACATTGGACACAAGCCAGAGAACAGCCTGTTTCCTTTAAAAAAAAGTTAATCTATTTCTGAAGTGGCTCAGAGGTTATTAAACCATAGCCGTACCAAAAGAGAGGTAGAAGAATGAGAAGTTATTTTAGAAATTAGAAAAATCTGAACTAATTTAGGAGAAAAAAAAAAAATCGAACCCAAACACTGTGGTAATGACCTCATCAGAGATACCAATAGATACAAAATTATTGGAGATCAAAGATTAAACAGTTTTGTAGTTACTGAAAGGAAAAAGAATGGGGTACACTTTGAAGTACAGCAACAGATAACAATAATTATAGATTAAGCAATGAACTATATCCTAAGCACTGCTGTTTACAATGCTTCCATGTATTTTAATGCCTTAGTTCTTAATGTGTAAGCTTTCATTGTGTAAAAAGAAATAAGTAAGTATAACAAGTATAACCTTTAAAAGATTAATGACTTTATAGTTACAAATGACAGCATATTTTAATAGTATCTCTATTAGGATAACATAAATGAAAGAAAAAAAACCAAACCAAACACAACATACCTTTAACCTGTGTGTCATCTACTGCTTTGTATTCTGTACTCTTTATTGCAAGTTCTACACCATATCCAGATAAATACATTTTTCTGGAGTGTGGTTTCTGTTTGATGATATTATTTCAACAGAACAAAAAACGTAACTTAAAAAACTGTCTCCACAGAAGATTATCAATATGTAATACTGTAACTCTAAAATGTTATGACAGTTGTAACTTAAATTCATCTTTCAATTTATGATTCAAAGTATAAAACAGTAGATAAAAAAAATAATGCCAGGCACACTGATAGCATTGAGAACATTAGAAATAGAAAATAAGGACTCATTTTATCTCCTATAGACCATGGAAAGGCTATCAAAATCCTAATCCCTTCACATACTATTAGAAGTATTGAAACAAGCAGAGCTGGTAGCACTCTACAATTATTGATGCTTTACAATTAATATATTAAACAATTCACATATTGTTGTAATTCTGCCAGACTTTTGAATGTTAGGAGGAAAATCTCTATTTCTGTGGCAGGCTGATACCTTCAAAACAAAAGAGTTGAGAAATTGTATCAAGGTATTACAGCCAAAAATTTGTTGCCAGTTTTATCAATAAGAACAGGCCTTTCTAACTTTGGAGTGGAAGTCTGATGTTCAGTAGGGTAACTACTCATAGTTATTTCTGAAGAAGTGTTCTAATTCACCCAAAATGTAGGAAAATCCTCTTCCCAAAAGGTGATTTGCAAGTGCACAACAAGAATTTCATGAAAGCCCCTCAGCTTTACTTTGCAATTTCCAAGAAACATTTTGTATTAACTCCAGCAGCACTGGGGTTTTCTCTACTGGTCATCTAAGCAAATCCCAATGCAGAGAGCTCTGCATTCTCTAAACAGTTTCAGTTGTTCTGGCAAATAAAAAAAAAGACAGCAGAAAGACTGTTTCTCTTCCTTCAACACTCCCTCTCCTGGCATTTAATGAAAAATGAATCAGACTCAGTGGGAACCGAAAAATAGAAAGTGGGAGTTGTGAGGAAGGAGGAAAAGGGAAGGGCAGTTTTATAGAGAGGGAAAGTGCAGGGAAAAAGACAACAAGCATTTTGTGGGACCACCTTGCATAGACAGGTCAGAGCAAGGAGACTGTGAGCATTGAAGGCACATAAAAGAACCAGAAGTTCAGTAAAAACTACAGTCCTATACATCTTAGAATTTAAGTTTGGCTTCCTCAAATTCTCTATTTCATTACTGTGAGCAAACAATTCTGTAAGTAATCCACAAACCACAGATCTCATTTCCCTGAAATGCCTGGCCTGCATAAATTGTTCTCAGTGCTTCAGATTATTTTTGTATTAGTTGCACTATTTAAAAGCTGTACTTTGAATATAAATTACAAAAACTTTCTGAGAATCAAAACCAGGAGATGGTATAGTTCCATATAGTGGTATTAGTTTTGTCTTGTTTCTGTGTTAAGAGTAAGATAGGGAAAACATTCAGAAACATTGTTTTTAAAATACTGACAGTGAGGAATACAAGTGTCAAAACTAACTAATGACATTGACTCTTGACAGCTCACACTGCTTTACTATAATGAACATATGAATTATAAAATTATATGTAATTAATTGTTTCATTTTTCAGCTTGATTTTCTACTCTAGCTCCCATTTTTCTAAATCTTGTAACTCATTTGTTCTGTCTTCTGCACCAAGGTTCACCTAAGATCCTCATACAATGTACAAACCCCAGAAATATAACCAGAAAGAGATTGGAGAAAAAGATTGATAATATTATCATTTCTTTTCCTAACTTCACAGCTGTATTGTCTACCATTTCATCTAGAAAATTTCTACAACAAACTGCAACTACTTGAAAGGGAGGTTGTAGTGAGGTGGAGGTCAGTCTCTTCTCCCATGTAACTAGCAATAGGACTACAGCAAATGGCCTCAAGTTGTGCAAGGGGAGATTCACAGAATCACAGAACAGCCAGGGTTGGAAGGGACCTCAAGGATCACAAATCTCCAACCCCCCTGCCACAGGCAGGGCTACCAACCTCCACAATTAATACTAGACCAGGCTGCCCAGGGCCCCATCCAACCTGGCCTTAAAACCTCTCGGGACGGGGCATCCACAACCTCTCTGGGCAGCCTGTTCCAGCACCTCACCACTATCATAGTAAAGAACTTCCCCCTGACATCCAATCTAAATCTTCTCTCCCTCAACTTAAAACCATTTCCCCCTGTCCTGCTGCTATCTATCCTTTCAAAGAGTTGAATTCAGTTTGGATGTTAGGAAATAGTCTCTTCTCCAAAAGAGTGGCCAGGTGCTGGAATGGGCTAGAATGGAGGTGGTGGAGTCACGGTTCCTGGAGGTGTTCAAGAAACATAAATATTGTACTGAGGGGCATGGTTTAGTGGGCTATATTGGTGATAGGTGGATGCTTGGACTGGGTGATCTCCGAGGTGTTTTCCAACCTTGGTGACTATGATTCTATGATTCTAAATCAGAACTTGTATGTGTAATACACAAAATTTAGGCATATGCAAAAAAATAGAGATAGAATGTTAATAGCTTACTGAATCAATGTTAATTTGAAATGCATACCTGAACATAATGCCGGAGAACATAAACAATTTCCTCCTTTTGAGCCTTCTCAGATAAAATTTTGTGGAACTTAACGAAGTCTCTTGTACCCATTTCAGCATAGAGAACAACAACTGGGCCATCCTCTTTGAGAGTTGGGTATTTATGATCTCCTTTAAAAAGATATGGCCTGGGTCTGATTTGAGAAACAAATAATTGTGTTATTATGTATTCAGAAGTGAAACAAAAACAGTGGCAGTTTTTCTACTTCAAAATTGAAAAACAATTATATGATAAGCTTATACTCTTATACACTAGAAGTGAACGAGCTACATAAAACCATTTCAAAATAATCACAGTTGCTCACAAAAGGACTTAGAACACCACTTTTCAAATTAAAGTCTCAAAAACTGAAAAATCAGCATCAACTATAAGTACTTTAATGTATTTTATCAAATTGCAACAGAGAGAGCAAAATAAAAAGCACAGCATCGGCATTTGGGGCAATAATTGCTTACAGCAAGAACATTTTAATTGAAATGACATTAGATCTATTAGAGATATGCAGAGCAATCAGTGAGTAACAAAACAGCAGAAGGAAATTCAGCAAAGTTTGAGAAAGCTGGTAACACACATGGAAACTAAGTGAGGTTATCACTTATCATCAAGCTTTTTTAATTTAGTAATTTTGCCCACCTACCCTCCTCATTCAATGCCATGACTGTAGAAAAGTTATGCTTTTGTACCTGCAACAAGTTAAATATTTTCTTAGATGACTGCAAATGTCTTTTGAATAAATAGTGGGAAAGTAACAGATAATACAATTCAGTAATATTCTCAAGGTGCTAATTATCAATAAGCACTTTTTTTTTTTTTCCAAAGTTGCTTTTGTACAGTCACACTGGAAGGATCAATAAACTCTCCAAACCTCCCCAAGGCAAGCCAAGAAATTCTAACTCAACATATTCTGCATAAATGTGTGTAGTGCAGCTACACATTCATTCAAAAATCGTACTCATAAGGTCTGAGAAGAATTCCACAAGCCACAGTTTCTGTGCTGCAAAGCTTAGGAACATCTTCCTTATAAAATCACAGGACAATTCACATTGGAAGGGATCTTTGGAGGTCATCTGTTTCAATCCCTCACTCAAAGTGGAGTCAATTCGTATCAAACTGCTCAGGGTCTTGACATCCTATGTAAGCTTGGTAGGTGTGCTTTAAGAGACAACATTTGCAAGGCAGAGACCAAAGAAGGAGCCTGGCTTGACAATAAACTTGGGAGCGTGCAGCCATATGTTGCAGAAGTGTCACATAAACTTTCACCTGCTTATTGCAGGACACCTACAAAGTAGGTGTCATCAGGAAATCTGAAACAATACTTGAAGGAGTAACCTCTCTTCAAGAATGGATTCAGATTTGTCCCAATGAAAGCAAACATAACGATGTGACTTCTGAAATTTCCTTCCCATACCCAGAGAGACTACAACTGCTGCAGTCATTCACAGGGTACCAAAAACCTAAATCAAGGGAGCTTCTCTTTCCTTCACCAATCACCTAGACAGAGGAGATGAATGATTCCTGCTCTCAATAAGTATCAACAGCTGTCATAGCAGTCCTGAGCACTGTCTCAAAGACTGCATTTCATATCACAGTGACCAAGCTTCACTAAAAACTTAAGCACTGAGTGAAGTAACACAGCACAGGGCTACCATAATGACCTGTAATTTTGGAACTAAAGCATTCAGTGAATCCAAGATAAGCCTCCGTTCTCTGTTTCTCTTTAAAACTGAATAGCCACAGAAGAATTGGTTTTCTTACTGCTATGAGCTAATTAATTTCCTGCCAAAAGACACTCTCATGTGAATGCTGCCCGAAAGGTAAGGAACAGAAGATCAGCAGGCAAAAAATGATAAAATAATATGTGGATGTGGGTTCTGGCACCCATTAACCAGCTACTAGGGTACTACAGGCAACTACATGCTTGTACAGAGAGCTGCAAAAACAGCATGCAAAACTCTCATCAGATATTTCTACTCTTGGCTGAAAACGTCCCAGAAATCGTAGTGTGGTTTTCAAGATATGCAATTCGAATCATTTTACTACTGAAGGTTTTTCTTTAAAATGTCCAAGGCTATTGAGCAGCCCAATGCATCTTCACAAAATAGTTCCTATTAGAGCCATGCAGCCCACTGGAACATAACTCGAACAAATCACGGTGGCTGCTGCAGAAAGGAATGGCTGAAACAAAACGTTGACCTTGAGATGTAGACCTTACCCTTTTGGGCTCTCCTTAGTCCAAAGTGCTGGAGACTTCCTAGACCTCAGACTGAGCTGATGGATCTGCACATAATAATGCTGTGAGCTCTTATTTCTCTTTCACTGAGACTTGAAACTACAATCCCTAAAAATAGTATTTCTTCATGTTCTCGTTCCATACGGTGAACTTAAAAATACAACTGAAAATCTAGCTTATGCCTGGCTTAACTGAAAGAGTCATGAAAGACAAAAGACAAAAAAAAAAAAACAAAAAGCGAGAAGGAAAATTGTTTGAAATAAAAAAGGGAGGAGCATACAACATTAAAAAATGTACTTGTCCTAAAAGCCACAGAGAAAAAGAACAACTGAGAGAGAGCAGACAACAGCAAGACAGAACACTTTCCCATATATCATTATGTACATCACATAGAAAAGACAGAGGAGGAGCACAGCCCTTTCTATATCACTGTGGCTCTAAGTCTCCAGCACAAGTGACTGAGCATATGCTACCCAGAGCATAACTGGAAATAATAGTGGAAAGTATTTGGAGGGGAACATTTTTTCATAAAAGTTTAGCTCTGGGAACTCTAAATATTTGAGTGACTCAGCTATTTTTGGGCTAGGTAAAAGGAGAGGAAGTTCAATAAGATTTTGTCCCTGCAGCTATAAGGGTTGCAATGTAACCTGTACACACAGACACACACCAAAAAACAAAACAAAACAAAACAAAACATCCAAACCAACCAAAACCAGAAAAACAACTGAAAAGAAAAACTGTCAGTTTTCCTGTGAGTTTTTAAAGTTAATTTAATGATTCCCAGTAGTCTCTTTCAACTTTGAACACTTTATAATTCTATTGTTTAGTATCCTAATTTTCTAGAATCTTGCAAATTTGGCAATAGTATCTCCAGAAAGAAGAATTTGCAGAAACCACCTCACAGGAGCAGTAAACTGCTTTATAAGAACAGTATATTCAGACATTGTGGTAATTTTTTTTTTCCCCACAGTTTACATTTGGTCAAAATCAAACTCCAAGAATTATGGCTCACTACATTATCTTTCAGGTTCAAATCTCCACGAAGTAGCTGAAAGTATGGACCGAGAGTATGATGACTATGACCACTGCAGAAAGAAAAAAAAAACAACCACACCTACATCTTGAAAAAATACAATTGATTTTTGTTTCAATACAGGTTAAACATTTTGCTCTCATAATTATTTACTTATTTGGATAGGTTCTACATTATTTCATGGCTGAAACTCATTTTGGACTGATGCTAGTTTCTACAGGACAAAACCTGCAGAGTTTTTACAGGTGCAAAGTCTCACACAAGGTAAGAAAAGTTATGCCAGCTTATGTAAATTCTTCTTTCACTCCTACAGTTCAGAAACCCTCAAATACATTGACAATGACTACATAAAAAACTGCTGGTAGAAGTACTGACTCTGAAGCATGAAATGGTATGTTTGCATACCACAGAGTAAACTCGACTATCTCACACCAACAAAAAAGGAAAAAAGAAATATTCCCGTGATTAGAGGAGCAAAGCTCTGTATTTTATTTTAAAAGTCTATTTTAATACGTAATTAATGAATTTCCACAACACTGAGTGTTTAAAATATCCAAGAACCAAAAGTAACTTTTTTGGAATAATGTGTATTTTAAACATGCTGTAAGCACTGATTTATGAGGTTGTTAACATTAAGTATATAGAATGCAAAATTCCAAAATATTACAGTAAAACTGCTATAATGCATTTTGGTTTTTTAGCAATGTATTTTTTTCTCCTTAAGCAAAATCATTACATTTACCTCTTATTAGCCTTCTTCAGAAGCTTTTTAATTTCATTAGTTTTACAGGTGTGCTTCTCATGGATAGCCACAAATGCACTGCAGCCTTCTGGTGGAGGTTCATCAGCTGCAATCTAATATTTCAACAATTATACTTAACCAGAATACTTTGATTGCACTTCAACTTAAACTCACATCCCTCTGATTAAAATAACAGCTGTCATTGAGTTGTGTTTCTAATTAAGCCCATTCAAAGTTGTGTACATGTGAAAACAGTAATGGAAAATATTAGAAGATTGAGACCAAACTTTGTGAGATGCAATCTATTAAATGTGATCATATTTCAGAAAATGCAAGTCTATTTACGTTCTGTAATGATGGGGCTCAGAAATGTCCTCCATAGGCTGATATCACAGACTGTACTCAAAGGCATTTTTAATTTTAGTTACTGTCAGTATTTGACTACTCTATCTTTCAAATTCTGAAATATTAAAATAATGGAAGAGAATTCCACTAGATAACAGATCTAAATGCTCTGAATTTGTAGGAAATTTCCCACTTTGGGAAATGTCTGAATTCCCATTACAGTATTTAAAGCAATGCAAAAACAAACAAATAAAACCACTTAGTTTTAAGAAAGAACAATTCAAAAAAAATTGCCCTGGAAATAAAGCTATTCATACAATTAAGCACAAATATTTATTCTGCACAATAAAACTAGCTTATAAAACATAATATTATGTTTTTTATAATACAGATCAGATTTGATTGAAAAAAAACAAACCAAAAACCCAAAACAAACACCAGCATGTATATTACTGAATTGCAGTAATAAACATTGTTTACTCTGAAGCCAAAATACTACATGAATCATGCACCAAATGTATCAGAGAATATATTCCTTTAATATACCTGTTGAAACATCTGAACAGTTGGAGAATATGCCCGTATGGAAAGTGCAAACTTCAACAGATTGATTTGGAAATTGGATAAAAATTGTCCTGCTTTCTTCAAGATTAAATTGTAATACGAATACTCTGTATCTGTTGAAAGAAAAAAAAGGACACATTTTTAGTATTTAGTCCCTAACTGCATAATGTATCTATCTGTGCAATGTAATATGCAAATATTATGTTAGCACTGTCAGGCACTTCAAGCCTTCAGTGTTGTCCACTGACAATTGTTGCCTTTACCACCAATTCTAATGTAACACAAATGAACCAGAAGCGAGCAAAACAGCACTAGTTAACATCTAAAGAAATTAATAAGCTCTATTCAGTACTTTGAAAATGCTTTCTATTTTTCAAGCTTCTACTTTAAACGCAAAATTTGAAGGTTATTTACATTTAATCAGCATTATTTTAAAATTATTTTCTCATATTTAGGCTAGGAACGTTCAAACCATGCAGCTTATATTAATAAAGCTCTTCTGAAGGTGACATACTGTAGTCTACTCTCACATCATATTTCCTCCCTAGAAATACATGATAAACAAGATTATGAGAAGTGATGTGGCTTCCCATTCCAGTAACTCAAACAATCTTGGCCTCTCAAAGCCAAGATTAGGACTGCAAGTAAAAAAGGAAGGTGAATGTTGTCTGGGAACAACAGAAGTTATAATAAGGAACTGTGGGTGGAAATCAGTAATTTCTATTTCTTCTTGAAGTTAAATATTTATAGAATCATAGAAGGATCTGGGTTGGAAGGGACCTTAAAGATCATTCCGTTCCAACCTCCTGCCTGTGGGCAAGGACACCTCCCACGAGGTCAGGCTGCCCAGTGCCCCATGCAAACTAGCCTTGAATGCCTCCAGGGATGAGGCACCCACAGCTTCTCTGGGCAGCCTGTGCCAGCACCTCACCACTCTCATACACCTACCCTCTTTCAGTTTAAAGCCATAACTCCTTGTCCTAACATTACATTCCCTGATAAAGAGTCCCTCTCCAGCTTTCCTGTAGGTCCCCTTCAAATACTGGAAGGCTGCAATGAGGTCTCCCCAGAGTCTTCCTTCTCCAGCCTGAACTAGCCCAGTCCTCAGCCTGTCTCCATAGGAGAGTTGCTCCAGCCCTATGATCATTCTTGTGGTCTTCCTATGGACCCACTCCAACAGCTCCACATTCTTCTCATGTTGGGAACCACAGGGCTGAATGCAGAACTCCAGGTGGGGGCCACATAGGGCAAAGCAAAGGGGGACTATCACCTTCCTCACATTGCTAGCCACCCCTCTTCTGATACAGCCCAGAGTAGGGTTGGCTTTCTGAGATATACATGAACAGTCTTATGCTCTCTTCAGGCACAAGACAAAGAAGCCTAATTAGAAGAAGTTGTAGTACTCTTTACCAAGTTGTGAAAAAGATCCATGTCTTCTTAAAGAATTTAAGAAATAATGTGTATCAAACATCTGAACTGGCCTGTATGTATTATACAGGGCTACACATTTTTGAACAAAAAACAAAGCTGTTACCATAACACATTGTGCAAAATCCCTGTTCTAGAGGTTGGTCTTCCATTGAAGAACAGCTGAAATACACACAGGCCAATGCAGAATTGACACTGTGGCCAAAAAAAAAAATCATAGAATCATAGAATCACTCAGGTTGGAAAAGACCTTAAAGATCATCGAGTCCAACCATGACCTATCCATACTACCCTAACTAACAACCCTCCGCTAAATCATGTCCCTGAGCAAATGGCTTTTGAACAAATCCAGGGATGGTGATTCAACCACTTCCCTGAGGAAACTCAGGGAGGGCAGATTTAGGTTAGATATAAGGAAAAAAAATCTGCTACAGTGAACGTGGTGAGGCACTGGAACAGGCTGCCTGCTGTTGTGGTAGATGCCCTATGCCTGGAGACTTTCAAGGCAAGGCCAATAACACAGCTCTGCATGGCACAAGAACTAAGGCATTGCAAGGTCTTACCACCCTTGCCGATGAATTGGCAGAGAATTCAGGAATAAATACTTCTATCCCTGGATGGCTGGAGTCTTGGTTTGGTAAATGGAAAGGAATGATTGTGTCCATATTTACTTCTTTGGTTGTAGTAGCAGGAGCCCTGATGGCCATCACTTGCTGTGTGAAGGGACTGGGACAGCAATTGATCGAAACAGCACACTATTGAAGCAAACACCAGTGTAGCCACCACCATATTCAGATAAAATGATGGTTTTAGAGAAGATGGGGAATTAAGAAAGGGAAGAAGAGGAAGATGTCTATGAAACTGTACCATAGAAAAGAATTGCAGAAATCAACCATGCATAAAGAAGAAAAGAGGGACAAATTGGGGGAATCTAAGTAATCAGTATGTATTTTACTTACATGAACAAATACTGGCTGTTCTTGCAGCAATTCAGGATCTCTTGCACATGTAATTACAATATTTTCCTAAATAGTTGAAAACTTACAGCAAGGGATAGTGAACTGAGGGGACAAACCACTCTCACTGTCCAGCTGAAATCTATCTGTGTTCTTGTATTTTAAAGGTACTCTTTCTGCACAAATGGAATTATTGTCCCAGTGGGATTTTTACAGTCTGAAAATCATCTCTCATAACCTTACATGTCCCATTTCACCTGACTCAGATGCAGCAGATCTCTGAAATACTTGTATTAAATGATGACTGCAGCTATCAAAATGATACTACTTTGCCATGGTGCAATACATATCTCATAACCTGCAGGTCACATTTTTGGAACTATCTGTTAACTGCACCCAACTCTAGAAGCGAATAAACTTCTGAGCTTAGCAAGTTCTCATGAAAAGGATCTCTTGAGATGGAGTTAAAAAAAAAATAAATCAATAAAATCCCATAGCCTGGGAGATTAAGGAAAAAAAACGCACAATAAAACTTGGAGAAGAAATGTGACAACGCTTGATCATTCATCATTCTGATACCAAAATATCAGAAAATATCATTTTACTCTATAGAAAGCCGAGTCTTTCACCGTTCTTGTATGGTAATTTTAATTACAGCTTATGTGATACCTGAGTTTTCATTGCAAGATTTCATTCCCATTATTTATTAGATGGAACAGACCTACTAAGCAGTTTCTTCCTTGCCTTGTTTCCTTGCTTAAGTACTGTAGGAATACTTCTACTATGGCAAGATACCATCACAACTTCTTTCTCTTCTATGTTAGCAAGGAGTGTTTTCTCTAATGTTTACTCATTAATCTGTATCTCAAACTTATTAAGTTATTTTTTAATTTCTGGAAATTATGAAGTATCTCTCTGGTACCATAATACCCAAAACTGTCTGAATCATGGAAGTATCTTTTCACTTACTGTTTGCCTTAGGATTGGCAATGCTTTTTGTATACAATATTCATAACTAAACACTTCCTATCCTCTCACTTTCTTTTTTATAACCTCCAAGCTTTTGTTCTTAGAGCTTCTAGGACCTCCTTTCTGCCTTCTCCTCTTTCTTAAATTTCACTATTTAGAAAGGCTTCATTTGTTATAATTTACTGTTAAAAAAAAAAATAAATAAAATCAGGATTTCTAAGGAGTTGCTTTCCCGTAAATTGTGTATGATCATTTCCATCAAATTTTAAATTAACTGGACTATTTCTACTTACACTAACCCTGCTGGCTTCATTCAGGCTACAGTTGTACCTCTTCAAATTTCAGCACATTAAATCAATCCACACCAACAGCTATACAAACATGCAAAAAAAAACATTTTTTTCTAAGATTATTATATGCTTCAAACTGCTTTCATATAGCATTTGCTCCTTGAAACTTGACAACTGTTTGCCCTTCAGGCACACTGTTAACAACATACTCTATGCTGGAAAGTGGAAGCTGTAATAAATTTCTAGGATGTTAGAAGGAATCAAGGAGAAACAGATGTTTTGGTCGTAAAGTGTTGCATGATAGCATAGAGCCATTAAATTCATTAACAAAGTTGATTAAAAAAATGAGATGACAATGATAGGGATACAGCTCCAGATCTGAAACATCCAAATGTAAATGCACAAGCCTGCATATGTACAATCTGTAAACTGCCATTCTAACCAATATAGTTTAGCAGTCAACAAAACATGAAAAGCTATTTAGCTCACCCTGGAGATGCCTAAATTTGTCAGCTGAATAGCTCTCTAAACTCCTGTAGCCAAACTGACTACGACAAGAACTGAAGCAGATAGCTAAGAAGTAAGCCCACAGTTAACATCTACATTTTCTGTCCAAAATCTACAGCTGTATCTCATATTACAGGTAGATTAAATATAATGTAACAAAAGGGAGAGGACCAGGATGGTCACAAAAGGGAAGCAAAGGTTTTTATCAGAGCTCCTATGATTCCATGCTAAGTGAGAACAAGCACCCCAAAATTAATCTGAAAATATGCTGGTGCCTCAGAGAAAGTACTGAGGCACAGGAGGCAGGGTGAGCAACCATAAGGGATGTAATAAAGTCAGAAGACCACTGAGTGATGGACTTAATGGTTTGAATTATGAGAGTATGGGGATTGTTCCAAAAGCATATATATGTGCATTTGTATCTACAGACCCCATCAAGGAATTAGAGTGCCCAGGTAGCAGCAGTTCAAGCAATCACCGGCCAGTCGAAAGCCCATAAATTCAAGCCAGATGCTAGTATAAACAGAACACTGCACAATATTGCATGATTATTACAGAAAAGTGCCATACCTCTGAGACTGTATTATTTCCTCAGTATAGTTGGTATGGGCCTAAAAACACTTATCTGTTTTAGTTCTGATTAATGTTGATCTAATAAGTGTGCACTGATAAACTTCCTGCAGAAGATAATCCGCATTACTGCTGATAATATGGAATACGTTGTTCTATTCTTCTGGAGAAGAAGTTTCCTTATTAGCATATGTAGAGCTTTTTGTTTTGTCTATTTTGTTATTGTAGTTGGCTTTGGGTATTTTTCAGCATTTGTAAGGTAGTTGATAACTCAAGATATAAACTAAATCACTTAGGAAGACAATAAGCACTCCAGTTATTGTTTGTCAGCAGGTAACTGCTTACCTTCACTCCATGTTCCTAAATTAACTTTTTGAGATATAAAATCAGCAGCAAGTTTAAACTGCAATTTTATTGTATTGTAACAGTGTTTCTCTTTACTATTAAGTTTTTAAATCTTTGAGTTCTTTATAACTTCCATACAGCCCAAAATAGCAGCAAATTCATTTCAAAACTTTCCACAAGCCCAGAGCCAAATGTGCTTCATATTAAGTAAATATACAGAATGTTGTCCACGCTACCTGAAGATCTCACTCTAATTTGATAGAGCTGATCTCATAATTACTCTCTCGGATATTTTTCATAGCATATATGCTCATTCATTTCGAGGTTGATTTGAGTCATTATTAAAGAAAGTGTTATAACAATCACACTAACTCTACAAAACGTTATACCAAACTCCACATACATTTTTCCTACCAAATTTGTTAAATTTCTACATATATAATAGCTAAGCAAACTATAGGTCAAATTTGCTATGACTAAATATTCTAAATGAACAAGTTAACAATCGATGTTGATTATTCTCAATTTAAAATAACACATTTCAAGGACTGATAGAACAACAGACTTGAAATCATCTGAGAAATGACTTGGAAAAAAAGGCACTATACTTGATATTTCTAATTGTCCTATAGCTCCTCCAATACTTCATTCTTTTCTGAAATACTCAACAGCACACTGGGATATAAACCTACCATTCAAGTCTGCTATAAGCCCAGTTTTTCAGCTTCAAATCTAGAATTGCTTAACCTTCTAAGATATTCTTTTCCTGTTCAAAACCAACCTACTGTTATCCATCTTACCTACTGTTCATATCACAAAGACCATGACTTAAAAAGTCACTTACCTCAACCAATCTTTTCTACCTACTGTTCACATCATATCAACCGTACCTTAACTGCTCATTTCGAGGGGGAAAAAAAAAAAAAAAAAAAAAGAAATCTAGAAATGACTTCTAGAAGTCATCTCACCTAAATTTTTACTTAGGGGAGATCCAACTTTAATGCTAGATATAGCTGCTCCGGGCCTTGCACAGAGTTCCGAGTACCTCCAAAGATGCCGACTGTACAACCTTCCAGGACAGCCTGTTCCAGTGTTTACTCACACTCATGGCAAAAGCATTTCTCCCAATCTCTAACCAGAATTTCCATGTTTCAACCTCTGCCCATTGATTCCTTTTGTATTACTGCAGATCCTCTCGAAGGGTCTGGTTCCATCTTCTGTACATCATGCTATAATGCAGTTGAGGATTTAAGATCTGCCATTAGTCTTCTCCCCTTCAGGCTGAATACAAACCAGTTCACAGTCTTTCCTCACAAGTCTGCTCCAGTTCCCCAAGCACTGTGATGATCTTATCCCGTACTTGCTTCAGTATGCCAATGTCTCTTGTAACAAGGAGTACCAAATTGGCTTAGTAGTACAGAAGCAGTCTTGCAAGTACCACAGTGAAATAATCACTTTTCTCAACTTGCTTGCTATTACACTCAATTAACCCAGTACATAACTGGCCTTCATGGGCCTAATGGTGCAATGAAACTCAATGTTGGTAAGAATACCCAGCTCTGTTTCTCAAGAACTGCTTTCCACTCATCCAGTGCCACTCTTACCCTGTTGCTGAAGTTATTCCAGCCCATGTGCATAAATCCTTTAAGTGTCTTTAATGCTGAACTTTCAGATCTTTCTCCTGGCACATCTCTCCAGCCTGCCAGCTTCTCGATTTACCCCAGTTCTGTACCACCCACAAGCCAGTAGCAGCTGTAATGCAAGACACTACCTAGTTTTGATAAACAGATTAAACAGTTAGCCACAGTACATAACATAGCAAATGCCTCTAGTAGTAAGACACAAATCAGACTGAGCTTTGTTCCACTTTCCATATCCTCACAATCTTACACAGAACAGCTCCACACAGCATTCACTACTCAGGGTTACTGTTCTCAGTTATTCTCTGGTTTATATGCCTGACATCAGACTATCCTCAAGTTTTCATTAGCTCACATAACTCTTTTTTTTTTGTCCTTCCAGTTTACACCCAACACCTACAATCACAATTCTTTGTACATCACCTGCTTCTACTAGATCCTTTCTGAAAAAAAATGAAAGGTACTGGGATAAGGGCATTGAGAAAACAGAGCAGAACATCACGTTCTATTCAACACAGAAATGCTCCGTGCAATCATAAGCAAGCAAATGTTGTTTACCATGCTAGTCTTTGTTCCCTTTCCAGCAATTTCCTAAGCCTATCACTTCTTTGGGCACTGCTAAGCACTAAAACAATGCTCTCACAGACTTACCCACAGGGACACAAAAAACTTTTTGACTTGTATTCAGTCATACTTGTAGAGACATGTTGTTCCTCGAGTTCTATTTCCCTCAAGTATATTATATTCTGGGCATGACAGGGATTCATTTCCATCGTCACGCTTACGTTGCTGGCATGATTTCCCTACTTTTCAGCTTCTGATTACTTACGTTAGCATTCAATTTATTTAAAGCTTCTTCTAGTGGTACGTTCTCATGCTCATGCCTAATGAATGCTACTATTTTGAAATAAAGAGCAAATGAAACAAACTTAACTTGTTCAGAAGCTTTTTCACTTAGTTCACCTATTAAATTTCCAAATAGGTTTAATACTGACTAACCTGTTGAAACATTTTTCATTATAAGTTCTTGTACTTTCTACTAAACTGATCCCTACGATATTTTCTGGGATGGCTCACTTACCTTTATGATTAATTCAGTTGATTTTATCTCAAAACTTCTAGCAACTTAATATTCTGTCATCACAGAAGGGATCTTATTATGTTTT